GCTGACGTGTATGTGAACACCAAACTTAATGCCGCAATTTAAAGCTAACTGGCCTGTTTGAACATAGTCTAAGCCGGGGTGCTTTTACCCCTATTTTAAACATCTCCGATAGAACGTTCAGTTAGACATAACGGGATAAACTTATATAGTCATATGTTGGCTATATCACGCCCATTTTCCAAAATTCCAAACAATGTTACTTATTGTCCGATTTTGAAAATTTTCGGATATTTGGTATGCTGTAACAAAGTCAACAACTGTGTAAAGTTTGGAAGAAATTGATGCAGTGGCTACCAAGATATACACATGTAACCATAAGTGGGCGTGGCCACGCAAAAATTTATAATACTCTTATTTTTCGCCTAAAAATTATTGTAAATATAAATATTGAGTGGATAATCTTCAGTTGTTACCAAAATATCGCAGTTTTCGTATTTCTGAAAATTTCTGTTATATGGGAGGTAGGCGTGGTTATTGTCGGATTTTACCCATTTTCAATACCATCCGTCCTACGCCTGAAAGAAGTTTCGTTAAGATATCTCAATTTTTACTAGAGTTATCGTGTGCATAGACGGACAGACGGTCGGATAGACAGCCACCGCTTAATCGATTTTTCTTTTCATTCTGATCATTTATGTATACATTTGTCTATATCTATCTCGATTCGTTTCTCCTGTTACAAACAACCGTTATGTCAACAAAGTTATAATACCCTTGTGCACAAGGGCGCTCGGGTATAAAAATATGAGAAAAAAGCAGTGCGGCAAATTTTTTGGCATCGGATTTCATGGAAATTATGATGATAATGACATTACGAATTAAAAACCTTCTCTAAATTCCTCGGCCATGATTTTACTTCGGGCATTTGCACGCATTTTGAAATCACATAAAACTGAAAATAAAAAAATCAAATTGCTCAGAATTTTTTAAGTTTTGAATTTTAAAAGTATATTAGTGGGATTCATGAAACGTCGCAAAGTTGTTGCAAACGAGACTGACACAGTTGACGTTGTTAGCAGCGATGATTCTGAATCAAGTCAGTCGTTCGGTTTCCTGTCATAAACAGAAGAGTAAGTTTCAAAGGGCATCTTAAACCTTAAGGCATCGACGCAAACAGATGCGGATGGGCTATCTCATTTTCTTGTCAAACACTGTGTGGATCTTATTAGACCTTTGACAATCATTTTTAACTTATCCATCTGTTCGGGAACATTCATTAGTGATTGGAAAAAAACAAATATGATGGCCCGTAGTCATAGTCAAAATAAAGTCGACTTTAAAGTTAGTTGCAGCTGTTTTGACAGATATCCCATTGAAAATTATGTCAAAAAGCTGCAACTAACTTTAAAGTCGACTTTATTTTGACTATGACTACGGGCCGATGTCTCTAATTATAGACCAATAGCTAAATTAACCACAGTTGCCAAACTTCTTGAAAGTATTGTCAAGGATAAAATGTGGCACGCTGTCCAGAATGTCATTTGCCGGAACCAGCACGGTTTTGCCAAAGGAAGATCTACCGTCTCAAATCTTTACCGAAGATTGCCTTGCGAGTTTCGAGTCTGGGTACTAAGTCGATACTGTATATACCGACTTTTCCAAGGCATTTGACAAGGTCTCACATAAAATTTTGATAACTAAACTAGCTTGTCTGGTTTCCATTCAAAGTTTCTTGATTGGATTAGCTCTTATTTATCCAATAGGCACTGCGCTGTAGCACTGGAAAATACGTTTTCCCGTTACTTCCATGTGAGCTCTGGAGTCCCCCAAGGTAGTATTCTTGGCCCCCCTTCGGTTTGTCATTTTCATTAATGATATAAGTTCATGTTTCTTATTCTCGAAATTTCTGATTTTGAAATATACGTCAGCATATCATCAGGAACGTTCTAAAGAATAAATAATCAAAAAAGTTTATTCCAAACGTTCAGAATGAATAAAGAAATGCAGCCATTAATAAGTGTTATCACTTGGTTTATTCCAGAAAACTAAATACAATTAATACCTCATATACTATATCTGGTTGCCTTCTTAAATCAGTAGTCCAGACCAAAGATTTAGGAATTTACTCGAAGTTGACTTTCAATAGCCATATTGATTTCATTATATCTAACTCCTATTCATTGTTAGCCTTTGTTCGCAGTAATAGCTCTGACTTTTCAGATCCATTTACATTAAAAACCCTATAAATAGCTTTTGTAAGGTCTCGCCTTGAGTATGCTGCCAATATTTGGCGCCCTTTTCATATTGGCCTCATAAACAGAATTGAGCGTGTGCAAAAGACTTTTATTAGGTGTGCATTAAGATCTCTAAATTTTACTGAACCGTTACCTCATGTGGGTGTTGAGGTGTCGCTAGAGAAGACAGTGATGATGCTCCTCAAGGGGAAATTGTCGCGGGGTCGCCCGCCAGTCATCCGCTTAAACGGAACCAGTCTCAGGTATGAGACGCAAGACAAATACTTGGGGCTATTGATGGGCGAGCGGATGAACTTTGGTCCGCATTTGGTGCGGCTTAAAGAGCGACTTGTTGGTGTTGTGGGTCAGGTGCGTCGAATTTTGAGGTCTGATTGGGGCCTAGGTTACCGTGCTGTTCGTACCATATATCAGGGCCTGTTCGTGGCTTGTGCCACTTATGGTTCTGTTGTTTGGTATGAATATGTTATGACGGTTGTGGGTCGTAAAAAGATTTTGTCGTGCCAGAGGGTAATGCTGCTGTCTTGTCTACCGGTATGTCGCACATAGGTCATAGGTGGTCATAGAACGCTCTATGGCTTTCCGGTTAAGAAGGGGTTTAGAGATGCCGTTGCTGGATGGGTGGATTTCGGATGCTGACTTGGAGAGAGGGTATTTGGAGTGTAAACGATCCTTGCGGGAGACGGTGCTAAGGGAGTGGCAGGACCGTTGTGGCAATAGTTCCAACGGCCGCGTGACATATGGGTATATTCGTGATGTTAATTTTGTCCGTGAAAACCCGGATTTCAGATTTTGTCTGAGTCTGGGTTTTCTTCTAACCGGACATGTGCAATTCAACGCGTTTTTGCACAGCCGGAATCTTCATGATTCGGAAAGCTGTGCATGTGGTGCGCAAATAGAGGATTCCAGACACGACGACTGACGGACGATTTATTTTTGAGGATGCTCTCTCTTTGAGTCAGCATGTTGAAAGTCTGGGGGTGTTTGCACGAGAGGTGATTAGTCGAAGAAGGCGTGCAATTTAGTTGGGGGGTTAATTTAATGGGTGGGGGCGACCAGTCCAGAGTGGTATGGAAACAGGAGTTTACTCTGGCCTGTTCTTGGGTAAGGCCCCTCGGGGAGTATCGTGGTGGCTGTGGTTTAAACCCACATGCGGGGAGAGTCGTTCTGGCTCGATGTGGAGTTGCATTGCAGCCGGGTGCCGGACCCATAGCACGGCGAGGTTTAGATAGGCCTCGAACCTCAACAAGGTGGTTAGTGTGTCCATTCCGCACTGCCAATTGGTACCGAGATGGTTGCATTTCGGGGCGCTGATCTTCGCATTGATTTGGTTCACTGTGCTTTTGAGCGCCGTGGTGTAGGACCGGATTCGGCAGGTACCCACGGAAATATTAGCACACGTTGAACCGTTACCTTCGTACAATTCGCACTGTTTGCTTATAAATTTAAACTCACTTGAGGATAGGAGAAAGTTATTATCTTGCTCGTTTATCTTCAACGTGCTTACTGGGATTGTTGATTGCCCTGATATTCTACGGAGAATTCCTCTCAATTTTCCGCGAAGAAATTTGCGGCACATGGACATTTTTTATTTGCATTCCTCCAAGTCAATGTATGCTATGAATGCACTGATTTGTCGTGCCCTTAGAGAGATTAATAAACACAATGATATCGATTGTTTTCTTTGACCGAAATAAATAAATAAATAAAATGTCGCATTTGTTGCAAAATCTGCAACCTTGCGACACAGCCATATTATTTGAGCTGGCAATCATTGCAAACTCAAAGTCGCGAAAGACATGATATTTTATTAGTAGCCGTCATCAATTCGCCAACAGTTAGCGAGTGGCGAAACGAACGTGCAACTGGCATAAATATATTAGATTGGAAGTACTGAAAAAGAGCTGTCACAAATGGCATATGTTGGGAAGCACTTAATGAATTGCTTGGAAGCACTGAATTATTTGACAGTTCATAACGTAAACAAAACAATATTTTATGTGTATACATACAACGAGAATCTTTTGCAATAAGTTACAGAAAATTGAGAAGAATTTATAATAAAAACGCAAAAATGGACAACGAGCGACTAGATTTGGTAAGAAAGTGCTCTTTTTTGTAAATATCATGTATTTAGTCAAAAATAACATTTCAGATTTCCCAATTCCTA